CCTAGGATTGTACTCTGACAGCCACAGGCAGCTTGCACCCACCCCCAAGTGAGAGCAGGATGGAAAGGGTGACTTCGAGGGTGACTCGGGCTTTGAAGGGCAGGCAATGCCCTTCTTGTTGTCAGTAAGAGTCTATGACGAAGGACTCTGCCTTATCAGCTTCCACATCCTAGGTGCCTGGGGGAGGGGAGGGCAGCACCCTCTTTCAAGAGAAGGCGCTGTGTACTGAAGCCGAGGCCTGAGTTGCCCATTCCTCAGTGAGAACTCCTGGTTGGCCCACTGGATACCACCGATGGGTACAGGGACTGCCTGGGACAGAGGTGGAGCTCCGTCCCTGCTCCTGACACCACTTTCCCCCAAGCTCCTCTGAAATTACTGCCTCCTGCTGAGGTGGGTGGTATTGCTGCTGCCGGCCCTCCCACCTTTAACCAGCTGGGAAATGGTCCCCCGTCCTTAGTGCCATAGCTTCATCTCCAAGTCAGATTAACGTTCCTCTCCCCATTCTTATCAGCAGAGGGCAACAGAGAGCAGGAAAAAATACGTGGCTCTCCCCGATTCCAACCTATCCAACACACCAAACTCTGTCATCACTGCCATCCTGCCCTTTCTTTCCTTTATTTCTTCCTGTTTTACAACCCACCCCCTGGTGGTTACACAATAAGCAGAATATGTTGAAATTCTATGTCTGCATTCAAGGTGTGTGAGGAGACCTGCATGATAACCTCAAATCTAGGATCTATTTACTAATTTATGTGAGTTGGGGCTGGTTACTGAACTTGACCACTCCTTGGTGTTCTCATCCATAAGATGGGAACAACACTCTTAGTACTGTTGGAAGCATTAGGCAAGTTACTACATGTAAAGCTCATACAGCAGTGCTTAGCCTGGCAGCCAAGATGTACCAGCAGTAGTTCTTAGTAGGGGTCACCATGGAGGAGAGGGAAGCTTCTCTAGGTCTCACTGATGTCCACCAAATGTATTGGCTTGCTGGGGTAGTTGCAAAAAAAGTACCAGTGAGTGACTTGCGCAAGAGTGACTTGCACAAGTTCTGGAGACTAGAAATCCAAAATTGCATGTGTGCAGGGTCCTTCCAGACAGCTGTGAAGGGAGAACCCACTCCAGGCCTCTCAGCTCACGAATGTCTATCTCCCAGTGGCTCCCTGGTAGGGAGGCAGCCATGCTGTATTAGGCTTCACTATCTCCCCCAAAGACCCTATCTCAATAAGATCACATCCTGAGGTCCTGGAGGTTGAGAATCCAACATATCTTTTGGGGGAAAGTCAAAATTCAACTTGTAACACTAGAAATGACTGGCATATATGCAGTTTCATAAGAACATTTTGATGGAATCTTTCAAAATATCGGTGTCCCCTGTCCAGTAGTAGTGGGTTGTGGAACAGAGACACATGGCAACAGAGAAGCAGATAACCAGAAATGGTCAGTTTAAAAAGCTGCAAGGCCGTTTCCATGGTGACCAAACCCAGTAAGAATGTTTTGAGATTATGCTCCAGGAAGATAAAGGAAATCGGCACCAAATATAATTTTTTAAAAATTGCCGAAGTCTGTTAGGGGATATTTTATCACATGGTGTGAAAATATGCCACTGTTTTAACTTGCCTGCCTAAGGTACCTGATTGGTATAAGAAAGAGCTGAATGGCCAATAGCTAGGCAGGAGAGAATAAATGGGACTTTTGAAAGAGGCACTGGAGAAGAATCGAGGCTTCTGGGGAGATGTCATCGAGACACTGAGACATACAGAATGAAGGAGAGGTTAAAAAGCCACATGGCAGAATGTAGATTAGTAGAAACAGGTTAATTCAAGCTGTAAGAGCTAGTTGGGAGCAAGCCTAGGCTAAAGACCAAGCTTTCATAATTAGTAATAAGTCTGTGTCAGTATTTGGGGACTGGTGGTCCAAGAAAGTTCGACAAGAAAGACCAACTACTAAAGTCCAGTTTCCTTACATCAGGAGAAAGTGGTCTGCTGGGTAAACAGGACACTGGATATAGGATGGTCCAGGGATCTGCATCTCAAAGCAGATTACAAAGGCTGGGTTTTACGTCTTTGAAATGTTCCTGAGTATTTCCTGTTCCTCAGGATGTCTGTTAACAGGAAATTCCTATATGGTTCGTCCTGAAGCAGAGGAAGGGATGAACATCACCCTGAAATCCCTGCGAGGGTCTTAGTGTTTTGAATTCTCTTTCCCTATGCTGTTGGGAAAGGCTGTTAAGACCCCTCCCAAACCAGGAGTTCTGGAACCAATGGGGCCTTAAGGACTAAGGTTTCTTGCTAGGGATTTGGTAGGTATAAATTCTTTGAGTTAAAGGGACAACTCCAGGATTTCCAAGGAAGCCTTGGTACTAAACAGCTAACTTAGAGGAACACAGGGTCAGAATGCTTCCCTAAAACTGACGCACATGACTGAAGTCAGCTTCTAATTGGCAGCTGCCAGCTCTAAAAGGCACCATAAAGGTCCTATTAGTCGCCCCATCTGCTGCGAAACTTGCTCCACGCCCATGATGAGTGCCAGCTACCCCACCCCCACTTCCCGAGGTAGTGGGAGGAAGGTGGGCATCAGTAGACCCATCTGGCTAACAAGAACACAGGAAACTGAACAAAGTCCACTTACGGAGAACTCAGTCAGCGGAGATACCCACAGAGGAGAAGGCTGAAAGCGGAGGAACACAGAGATCCAGGGTCCGTCACTAACATTTCTGTGGCAGGTAGCTATGATAAAACACTGACCAAAACCAACTTAGGGCAAGAAAGGATCTGTTTCACTTACAGTTCCGGATCCCGATCCATCCAGCGAAGCCAGCGCAGGAACTTAGGGAAGGAGTGGAAGCAGACTACTGAAGAAGGCGGCTGACTAGCTCCATGCCCGTGGCTTTCTCAGCTTGCTTTCTTGAACAACCCAGGACCGCCTGCCTAAGGGTGGTTCCACCCACAGTGCACTGGGCCCTCCCACATCCTTCATTTCATCAAGAAAAGGCTTCTCAGACCTCCACAGGCCAGCCCGGTGGAAGCAGATCCTCAACTGAGGGTCCTTCTTTCCAGGTGACTCTAGTTTGTGTCAAGTTGAAACAGCTAAGCCAGCACGCAGCCCAAAGTCAATCAATGAGCTGGACATGCTCTTCAGAAGTCAGGCCGGTTGCTCCACAATGTCTTGCTACCACTTTGTCACCCCAAAAGCCAGAGCTATTTTACAGTGAAAGGGCAAAAGACAGTCCTTGCTTAGGGTGAAGTGGTTTGGGCTCTGTTCCATTTGAAGGTCACCATCCTAAAGCAGTGGACAACATTCTACACTAAGAATCTACTTTTGGAGTTGTCCTGACTGAGGAAACAACTCAACTTGTTTTATGTCAACTTGACATAAGCTAGAATCGTGTGAAAGGAGGGAACCACAATGGAGAAAATATCTCCATAAGATCGGCTGTAAGGCATTTTCTTAATTAGTGATTGATGGGGGAGGGTCCAGCCCATGGTGGGTGATACCATCCCTTGACTAGTGGTACTGGGTTCTGTAAGACAGAACAAGCCATGGGGAGCGAGCCATGGGGAGCGAGCCAGTAAACAGCACCTCTTCATGACCTCTGTATTAGCTGCTGCCTCCAGGTTAATGCCTTGTGAGTTTCTGTTCTGACTTCCTTTAATAATCAACAGCGATGTGGAAGCATAAGATAAATAAACCCTTTCCTCCCCAGGTTGCTTTTGGTCATGGTGTTTCATCACTAGGACAATGTAACAAGATTCAGATTTACAGAACAATTCTCAGATCCCACTAATCTTGGAAACTCTGCAGACACAGAGAGAACAGGCACCAAAAAAATGGAAAGCAAGCACTTGTTTTGCTTAGAAGTCAAGAGTTTTCAAGCACCTCAACAACCATCCCTAGAACTAAGCAAGAAAGAAACAACCCATGACCAACAAGGTAAAAGTTCTTACAGAATTGTTCCTGACTCATTGTCTTCTTAAAATCCAGAAAAGTCAGGCACAATTCGATCCTCAAGTGTAAGGTTCCCTTAAGTTTCATAATTTACTTCATGCTGCTAATTCATGGATTAAAACTTTGACAGAAACCAGGGGCAGTGGTGTTCATCCATAGTCCCAGATACCTGGAGACTGAGGCAGGAGGAACCCTGGAGCCTAAGAGCTAAGGTTTAGACTGAGCAACACAACAAGAATTTCAAAGAAAAAGAAATTGAACATCTACATATAAATCAAGATATATGGCTTCAAAAAGTATATTCCACAAGTGTGTGGGGCCAGGACAAACGACTTCAGGGTCATGTGTTCAGGGAGATGGCATACTGACCAAAGCTCCTGCTTCGAGGAGGGGACAGAAAGAAAACTAGAAATGACTACATTTTAGTTTTAATAATTTACAAAGAAATCATTCACAAACTTGTCTACTTGGGTAAAACAATAGAAAATGGAACTTCCTATTTTTCTACCAGTTCAAATGCTTATTATAGTACTTTCATTATAAACCCATTGCCATAGGGGGAAACACCTACCATTAAAACTATCAGTAGCACCACATTCCACAAGTTCCTATGGTTTAAAAAAAAGAAAAAAGACTCACCAGCCATTGAGTTTGAAAACTTGCTACATCACCAAGTTTTTCCAAGGTGAACATATGAAATGAAAGTGATAGGTGAGCTTATCCCACTGAACACAGAATGCTCTAATGACCCATTTGCTATTTAAAATGACAAGAACTTTTAGAATGCATTTATCTAAAAACATACTCATGTACATAATTCTTTATGTGTATAATTTTAAATGTAGTAAATATTGAGTATTTGCTAATATTTACTAAGTATTTGGCTACCATTTAAATGGACAGGATATATAAGCTAAACATATGATTGATGTATGCTCACCTTTAGGCCTGAACACTGAAACAAAATAAAAATCAATAAAGAACACTAAAGGCACTTAATAAAAACTAAACAGAATATCTATGAATGTAAAAGATACAATGTATAAAATGACGAATTTGAATGTAAAAACCACATTTATTAAATATGACTGACTAACTTAAAAAAACACACAGCCAGTTTTTGTTAAAGTGCTGTTCATTCAAATTCTGGGATAAGATCATCACCCCAAAGTGACTTAAAAGAAAAACAAATTACAGGGCAAACAGTGGTAATATGACAGGCACTACCAAAAAATGCAAACTGTTCTTTAATTAAATAATGCTATTCTCAAGTGATATAGAACAGTCTTCTTAACAGGATTACTCTTTTGTATAAATATTCATAAATTAAAAATGTTTCTAGATATGCCAAAAAGCTGCAAATCACACCTTACAACAGCAGCTTAATGCCTATTTAAAAAAAAAAAGCACTAAAATCCTTTTCCATTGAAAGCCATTTATTTCTCTGGTGTATGTGAACGAGGTCACTGAGACACTTGCCTCTCTTAGAACAATGCATATACATTTTAAATTGGGAAGGTCATAAAAGTCAGGACATAATCATCTTTTAATGCAGTAAGAAAATAAATAAATAAAAATTAAACACTGTAACCTGATGTTTGGTATTGACAAACCAGTAGTGTCAGCTTCACGTACGAAGGACAGCAGAGTCTGATTCTTTTTTAAATATTCAATATGTCATGGTATTTGGGCTAAAGGCCTTCAGAACATTAAGTATTTCCTGTCTTTGCTTAAAGGGATATGATCAAACCGTCATCAGGCTGCTATGGTAATTAATTTGAGGCTGGGGTGAAGTGACCTTTTGGTCCATGGCACAAGTCTCATCTATCACATTTCTGTCAAACAAACCTGGCGAGATTTCATGTTTATATGCTACAATACACACTGACCAAGTTGTCAGTCCCTCACAGTTTTTTAGAAAAATATCTACATTTGTCCTTATGGATGTCAAAATGTTACACCATCATTTGTTTAAAAAAAAAGAAAAGATGCACATTCATACTGTGAAGTTATTAGGAAAATACTCTTGCAAGTAAACTATAGAAAGATAAAATACACTTCAAAAGTATGTGGGTTGTTTGTTTACAATATTCTATAAAGTGCAGAGAAATCCTAAGGAGAGGGGAAGCTACCCCAGAAAGAGTTTAATTACAGCAGCTTTTGCATAGCAACACTCAGAGGAGGCGGGATGTGTCCGTTTCCTCAGGAGAAGGGTGGAAGAGGTTCTTCAGATTCAGACTGGGTCTTGGCCAGAAGTCTGCTTTCTTCAGGAATGGTTGCTGATGCCAAATCTCCATTAAGTGTGTTTCCTGAACAGTGAAGAGGTCCTGTGAAAAGTAATTGGCATGTTAAACACCTAAGCCATGCCGACTCTAGGCCTCTGTGAAAGAACATCTCAGCTACACCGGCATCAACACTACCTGTTCCTCCAACAGAGCCGGCTGAGTTTCTAGGTAAGTAAAGAAAGGCTACTGTGTTTTCATCTATTCAAAACCACAAAGGCCCCCACTGCTGGCTCTTCCTACTCCATGCCATTTATTATGTCGTTGCCATAGGGAACCAGACCCATATTCCACAGAACTGACATCCAGCAAACACACGCCATGGGAGGTAAGAATTCTAACAGGTGATGGTCTATTCACTCAGATTTAAGTGTAAGATGACACTTGTGTTCCCTGGAAACCATGGTCCTTGCAATCAAACGGGGCACATCCTGACACTGACACGCTGTGAAAAGCCTTGCTCCTTAGAGATAAGCACAAATCTCAACAGAAATCCCTAGTCTCCTGAAATGACAGTCTCCTGCCTCTGAAACAAGGGAGAAAAGGTACAGGGATAGGTGTTGTCATCCCACACAAGATTGCTTTCTTTAGCAATTTTAAGGCAGATAAATAGCCTTAAATAGATTTTCAACCTTTGTTTCCTCTAGAATTCTACCTACAATTAACGATTTTCCTATAATACTTTAAAATAGAAGCGTAGTGGTACGAAGGACTCAGTCAGTAAGAATATCTCTGAGATAAAGCATCTATCAATGCTGCTCAGCACCTCTTAACTGCATACACAGAACACCACAGCCACTGGGGAGAGAATGAGCAGCTGTGGGGCTGCGGGCGTCACTTCCCTCTGATGAATTCCCCTAAAAGCATATAGTGCTCCAACGACACCCAGAGACAGTGTATTTCAATCCCAGAAACTACAAGAACCTAGGGCGGTTGTGCTGAAGCGGTGGGAGACACAAGCTGTGGAACTCACTCTCTGGGTCTTCAGGGGGAACATCATTGGAGGAGTCTGTGTCCGAGTAGGTTCTGCGGCGGCGCTGAGGAAGTCGGTGAAGGGCAGAGGCTGCTTCTTTGATGGAGCAGCTGCTCCTGCACATTAAATAAAAAGCGTTAAGCTGTGGGCATTAAACAATGAAAAGACCCTTTCTTGGCTTGAATTTTAAATGGTTTATCTTCAAGGCCAAGCATGGTGGGCCACACCTATAATCCCAGCACTCAGGAGGCAGAGGCAGGAGAAATCTCCAAGAGTTCAAGGCCAGCCTGGTCTACATAGCCAGTTCCACGACAGTCCAGAGAAACCCAAGTGAGAATCTCCCACGTTAGCAATATGCTGCTCATTTAGATGGGACGTGTGCAGGCAGGCCGGTCTCCCTGGAATGCGGGCAGGTGGGCACTAACTCAGAGGCCATGAGCTAAATGAGAAAGGAGTACAAAGCCATGCTTCTAGGAAGAGGGTCCAATGGGGCAGTCGACAGAGGTGGCCTGCAAATATCTGAGAATTTTCTTAGGTTTCACAAGTGCATATATCTAATGTCAACTTTAACTGATGAAAAGAGCAGACTGAAGGAGGGTGCCAAAAGTTTAGAAGTGTCCAGATGTGAACTCACTGACAGAGAAACAGAAGATAAAAGTGGTGAAATGGAGGCTAGAGATAAAACATGTTTCCGGGCTAAGTATGGAGCGTAATTGGCAGGCTGCTTATGTGGCATGCACCAAGCCCTGAGTTTGAACCCCAGCAGTGAGTGCATTAACCAGGCCTGGTGGCTCACACCTTACTCTCAGCACTGAGGAGGTAAAGGTAGGAGGATTAGGATTAGGCATGCTGGACTTTGTGCTACATAAACACCCTGTCACAAAAACAAAACAAAACAACTTTTAAAAATCAGTCTAGGATATCCCCTATGTGGAAGGAAGTGGGGGCAGGGTGGGAGTCTGGGGGAGAAGGTGGGGGGATACAGGAGGAGGGGAGGAGAGGGAACTGGGATTGACATGTGAAACAAGCTATTTAAAATTAAATTTAAAAAAATCAGTCTAGGAGCTGGAGGCAGGGCTCAGCAGTTAAGAGCAGTGGCTCCTAAAAACCTCCGGTCTAAACATGCAAACACAGAAGTGTCTCTACCACCTAGGAGTGACTCAAACATCTGCTTCATGAGGGCTCCACAGCACTGTGCAACCTTGACATATCAAGGGAAAATATCGTTTAACCTTTTCATAACTTACTGTCCAAGGGAAAAAAGCATAAAATACAGCTCAGAAATGTTTCTATCATCAAAATACGTTTGCTGCCAAAGGACTTAGCTTCCATTGTTCTATAAAGTCCAGATGTTAAAATGCTTCTTTCCCTGACAGGGCTAGGTATGTATAAATTACTGGCTACCTCTGGGCAGATCAACTCAACAAGGATTATATAATTACCAGAGGGGGGGAAAAATGATAGCAAGGTCCAGTGCTTAATAGTCAGCATAGAGAACATGCTGAAGAAAACTGATTTCACCACTTTCCAAAGAACAGAAGGGGCCAGCCCAGTCACTGAGAAGGGCATGCCTAGTGACACGCAGAGTCCCCAATAGCTCGGACACTGGCAGGGCCTACGTGGAAGGTGAATTTTTTACAGTATTGATACGAACATGGTTTTCTCTTTTCCAATGAGCTCTTTCTCAGTAACAACCTGGCGGGAATATATGATACCATAAAAAGCTAAGATAAAATGTCCTCAGTTGTAGACACTCAAATACAAATTGCTCTCTAGCCACCTGATATATTTCATCTTTTTTTTGTACATAACTTATTGCTTGGTAGCAAGTACATTTGCCTGCTAAGCTTTCTCACTGCTCACAGTTCTTGACATATTTTAAAAACCTAGGAAGCACATCAACAGGTACCACCTTTGGATTCATTCCCTTCTGAAGCCAGCCCCTGACAAAGAACTAAGCAACACACACAAAACTGGGAGTAAACCAAACCAGGCCTACTCCACAGAGCTGACATCCATAACAGCTGGCACCGGCCTGAAGAACTTTCCCAAGGAGGCAATATTCAGACAGAATTTAGTCAGAAGAAATGGTTAGTCTACCTCTCTGAACTGCAGGAACCAGGGTGGCTGGCGGAACGCTTCATCTAGAAATGGAAAAGAGAGGAAAAGACCTTAGCTTAATGTTTAGTCAAAGAGAATAATACACCTCCAATTTATTATCATAATGAATATAAACTGATTCAGAGAAACAGATGCCCAGAAAAGACACTTATCTTTTACAGACTCAAGTACCAGCCTAAATATAACATCAGACTTTCTTCCTAATAATTATTAACTGAACGCTGTTTCCAGGCTGGCAAAATTTCTCAACATACTGAAAAAATACTAAACTTCTAACTTTTTATGTGTGTGTTTGTGTGTTAAATAAAGAATAGTGTGCACATATATACATATATATATATATATATCCTAAAAGTCATTTTTAAGAATAAAAAGGAGTATCTAGCAAACCAGAAAATACTCTTAACAAATGTTCTAAAGTAGAGTAGAATGTGGTGGTAAAGCTTCTCTCTGCCATTACTTACTTAGGCAGTTTCCACACAGATGTGTGTCAGTGTAGCTTTCATGGAGGGCAACATTAGTAAGTCTAGTCTTTAAAGAAGTCAGAAAAACCCTAAAGTGCAAATAAATAGGTCTCTAAAACATTCATTTAAACAACTAATGGGCTAAGGATATAAGCTCAGTAAGTGTTTGTCCACCATACACAGGCCAGTCCAAACCTTGAAACTATAAAAGTAGAATGACATGGTGTTAAAAGAAAAAAAGTCTGATTAAGCAGAATGCATAATTTAGAAGATCCAATTTGCCCACCAAAACACCAAGGAGGTGACAGAGGAGGTGTCTATACCGAAGGCTGAGCATGCTTTATGTACACAAGCCCACACCTAACACACTGCACAAACGCCCTCCGTGTGTGCCACTTCAGCGGCCAGCTGACAAGTCCCAGGTGAAGTCCACAGGCTACAAGGAAGGCATGAAGACGCAGCTGGACACTAACACGCCCTTTCAGTCACCTCCGCTCACCCTCCAAGGGAGGCACTGGAGTGGGGACACAGCTCAGCAGTCTGTGGGAATTCTCCCCACCCACACCCAGGAGCTCACAACCACCTGCAATGCACCCTCCTCCTGGTCCCCACGAAATATTCCCCACAAAAGAGGTGCTGAGAGATCCCAGCAAAGAGCCTCTGCTAGACTGAGACAGAAAAACCTCATTCTCTAAATCGGTGGAAACTGTCCCAGTTCTTCTGACCAAAATACATATTTTATGGACACTTAAGAGTGTCCAGTGTTCACTGATGAAGACAGGACTTAAATAAATGTGGGCAATGTTCTTTACTCCCTCACCACAACTGAACTGGGGTGGATGGGAGGACACAGGGGTGAGCTGGGCTCTCTTCTCAAGAGTGATCACTCAGCAATGGTGAAACCATAGCCAGGTGCATGCCTCCTCCTGCCAACAGGCTCCCAAGCACACTCCAAGGAAAATAACGCCATGCTCTCAAACCTGATCTCACCACAGGCTCCTCCACAGCAGACTTAACAGCAGGAAAGACACAGGGAGTTCACCTCCCCCAGCAGACTTCTTGGTGTGCAGAGTAATCATGAGGCTAACATTAAGAACCTCTCACTAAGTGGCTCAGGTCCTTCACCATGGCCTTCTGACACAGAAGACATTTCACAGATGAAGGACTGCAGGAGTTAAGTAATCTGCCTACTCAGAGAATTCAAATGCAAGTGCTAACTGCAGAACAGTTCCCACTGGAAGCTTCGAGAGCAAATCATCACTCTCTTCCAAAGCTTTTATCAAGCAGACACACATACCTAGCTTCTTCTGTTGCAACACACACATACACCACACTACATACAACGCTTTCTGGACACACAGGCAATGGACACAGAGTGACAGGCAGGGCATTCTCAGGCCCTTCAAAGTGGAGAGACCAAGGCATTACTGCATGTGCTGAGCTCCTCAGTAGAGAGGACCCATTACCAGCACAGACAAAAGCAATTCAATCTGTGGACTACTCCCTCCTCACTTCCCATTTCCACTCTTACAAAGAAAAGAAGAATGGTCAGGTATCAATAGGAGAGAGGCTGAGACTGTGACTTGTCGGTAAAGTGCCTGCCACTAAAGATTTGAGTTCAGATACGGTGGTGTGCATCTACAACCACACACAGGGAAGGAGACTGATACCCAGAGCTCACCAGTCTTGACTATTGATGAGCTTCAGGTTCAGTGAGAGACCTTGTCTCAAAAAGTAAGCTAGAAAGAGAGCAACAGAACACACCTGACAATGAACTCCAATCTTCATGCATGCATGTGCACGACACACACGCACGCACACCCCAAAATAATTCATTTTAACTTAATGTAAATATCCCTAGAAGAAAAACAAGAAGTTCCAACTAACCATCTGAACAGGAGAAGGCGACACAGGAGAAACCAAGGGATCCGGATGAGGCAGCTGAAACATCTCAGGTTTAAACTTGGCATTGGCTATCTTCACACATTCCTCAAGGGTTGTGATGAATGTATTACAGGTGGCACTAAGCAAGGACGAGGCTTCATTCATGTTCTGAAAAATGACAAATAGAGACTGAGCAGACTCATACTTAACCATAAAACCAGGCACATCCTGAGAATCAAATGAGAAAATTAATTAAAGCTAAGACTTTATCACTAAAAAAGCAAACAAACCAGAAGTTATCTACTGTGCTCACGCAACTGGCCCAGAAAACACAGGCTTCTTCCTGAGCCGAGTCTCTAACTAGTTCGTGTCGCAGACCCATGTCTTGATTTCCTGGCGACATGAGCTGCTTCAATGCTTGCCTCTAGCACAGAGACAGAATTCAGAAAGCCCTGCAGAAGCCATGCAACAATGCAAGACACCCTGTGATGATGTTTCTGTCATCCTATGGAGTGGCTGATTCTGTGACAACATTTCTGTCATCCTATGGAGTGGCTAAGTAACTCTGTGTCGATGTTTCTGTCATCCGGAATGGCTAAGGATGCCCCAGGGCAGTACGTGGTCAGTATAACCCCAAGCAGATGGGTCCTCTTTGCAGTACCTCTACACTGGAAGATGAATGACTCTCATCGTGGTGAACAAATTCCTGGATTGTATGAACCTGCTGCATTAGGAGGTCACAGTAGAGGCGAAGTTCAGACATTTTGGTTTTCAGAGATTCACTGGTCTCACTTATTTCTAAAAGAAACCCATATAAATATCCAATTAGGACATTTTCATGTTCTTTGGTAGTACATTAAAACAACCATTTTAAAAGCAGGCAACAGAGGCTAAGCTAAGGAAATGGCTCAGTCGACAATATGTTTACTGCATAAATACGAGGACCTAAGATGGATCTTTAAAACCCACATTAAAAAGTTGGACCCAGTGGCGGTCTGTAATCCTAGCACTGGGAATGTGGAGACAGCAGGATCCTTGGGCTTGCTGGACAGCTAGTATGTGGGAACACCAGACCTTGAGCAGAGACCCACTTCCCCTTCTGCCTGGGAGTAGGCAGCTGTAAGACAATGTTTAGTAAAAACATGTTTACTAAAAACAACACAATGCCCGGGGCAGTAAGTTCCTGGAAAAGGCCTGCCCACAGAAACTGCCCTGACCTTGACCTTGTCCAAAGACTAGCCGCCTCTTCTGCCACGCCCCGATCAGTTTCTGGTGTCAGAGCAGAACCAGCTAGGGGAGAAGAGAGAGCAGAAGCTTCTCTGGTGGGAGCCTTTCTTAGGAAGTTTTATTGAACCTTTTTGGGGCCTGCTTAAAGTTTTCTTTACATCGTTGAACGAGTCTCTGTGTTGTCAATCCCGGACACCCTCCGCACGTTCTCGGACACAGGCCGTGCGGCAGGCGTGACACTAGTGTACCCCTATCACTGAGCTCCAGCTGAAGGCTCTATTAGAAAAATAAGGTGAACAACTAAGGAGGACTTCCAACATAAGCCTCTGGCCTCCACATGTACATGTACCCACACACAACCAGCATGCACACACAAATGCATGCATGCACATGAGCTCCTACACAGACGCAACAGACCCAGTTATAACCTGAGGTGTGAAATCTTTGAAATACTTCTTCTTTACATACTTCAGGAGAGACAACTGATAGTCACACATCTGCCATGAAGTTAACATAGGCTGATTTCTATAGACAAGTGATGACAACTGGGTGCTTCTAGATTGTTATGTATTTAATTAATTTTATCTTATTTAGGAATGGGGAGGAAAGGGAGAAAGAGAACATAAGTGTGTGTGTGTGACACACGCGTGCACACATTAAGACACACATGGAGAGGGCAGAAGACTTCTCTCCAGAGTTGCTGCTTCCCCTGCCACCTTGGATTGCACTTAGGTCACCAGACCTGTGCACAAGCACCTCTCTCTACCCACCGAACCGCCTTGCTAGCCTGGTCACTGGGTGTTTTATCACACAGCATTTCCACTCCATTACTCATTTTCTCCCACGTGAAACCTGTATTTCTACTTTTGTGAACTAGCCTTTGTCTTTTCCTCATACATTTTTCCAGCTCTGATATTAGTTTTACTTCTAATACATACATTGATAATCTGTTAAAGTTCTAATATATTAAAGGCAGTATTTCATCGACCTATATAACACAAATGCTTCCCCACCTACCAGCTCCCCTCTAGTTTTCCTGTATATTTTAGCATACAGAAGTTGCTGGCTTTTAGGTAAGAAAAGCTATTCCACATAAACATCTATTAAATCTCTCCCTTTTGGTTCCATTTCCACATTTTACTGCTCTGGGAGTTTTTAATGCAGCACTCACTTCCTTCTCCTTAGTGATTCAGACAAAGTGTGTACCCAGACAGCATCTCAGCTGTTCACTAGCCATTATCTTTTAAAGTAAAAATTAATGCTCTCAGCGACTGCATACTATGTGCTGCTCTTTCAGAAGCAGCTGGACCAGGCCAGGGTTGCTGCTTCCCATCAGAAAACACAGCAGAGAAGCACTCTGCATATCTGACCTAAATCAGTTCTTTCGAAAATTTAAGTACATTCCCTTAAATTTTTTTGGCGGGCAGGGTGCTGTGCATGTGTGTGGTGGCATGCATATCCATGTGCACAGGGGTCAAGGCCAGAGGTTGACATCTTGATTGCTCTTCTACTTTGCTGACTGAAGCAAGGTCTCTCACTCAACCTGGAGCCATCCACTCAGCTAGTCTAGCTAGCGAGCTTGCAACTGGAGCCTTCTGCATCCACGCAGCAGGCAGCCACACCCACTCAGCTTTTATGTGGTTTCCAGGAGTCCAAACTCCAGTTCTCAAGCACTTTATTCTCTGAGCCATCTTACCAGCCCGTTCGTGTGTGTGTGCGTGTGTGTGTATTATACTTAGCACAAATATATCCTTTTATGTGCACATTCAGTGACATTAAGAACATTCATATACTGTGCAACCATGACCATTATTTTCCTAACAGAAACTCTGTAACCACTAAACACTAGCTTATTCCTCCTCCATGTAGGCACTAACACCACCATTTTTCTTCTTTTTTTTTCTACTTTACTTTCTTTTTTTTCTACTTTACTTATTTAGACTGTCTCATTACATGGCTCCAACTAGCCCCAAACTCAAAATCCTCCTGCTTTGGAATCCTAACTGGGTCCATTCTCCTTTATATCTCTATAAATCTCACTACCCTTGGTATTTAAAATGAATACAATCAATGTTTCTCTTTTTGTGACAGGCATATTTCACTAAGACTATGCCTTTAAATGAAGTTATCATATTGTAGCATGTGCCAGAATCCCTCCTTTTTAAGGATGAATAATACTCCATTGTACAGGAACCACAACTTTATTTATTCAGGTCTCTCTAGATATTTGTATTGTGCCTATTTTTTAGCTACTTCTTAGCCACACTTTATCAATAATTTTCCTTAACATAGTTCAATATCATTATAAATTTCTGCATTTTCTAACATCTATAATTTAGAAGCTTTCAGCAAACTAACTTAATATTGTTTTTCATTTTTAAACATTCTTTATATGCACACATGTGTACAAAGAGCAAGCTCAAGTGTCAGCCTCTTTTGAGGTGGGGTCTCTCACTGACATGGAGCTCACGAATTAAGCTAGGCTGGCCGGCCATTGGGCCCCAGCGATCCTCCTATCTCCCACTCATCAGGGCTGGATTACAAGCAGGTGCCACCATGCTTGGTTCTTTACATGAGCACTGGGCCCCGAGCTCGGGTCCTTGTCCTTCTGCTTTTTCAATGACCAGTTAACCACAGTTTCCCACACCGTTAAACTTCCTTGGAAACACTGTACTGAACTCATAATGTATCAGCTGACCAAAGTGCTGGTTGGCCAACTGATCCTCCTAAACTGAGACCTTCCCATTGTTTACACAGTTTTTACTATGGTGATCTATTTATGAACGTCTTCTACATTACAAATTTCTTCCTGATTACTGAGAGTGGACAGGCTCATTTATGCCTAGAAAGCCATTAGTACAAGAAACCCGTATTCACCTTTTTCTTTTGCAGTCCTCGTGTCAGTCAAACACGCTTTGGAGCTCCCCAGGGCGACCAGCCACCTCTGTCTCTCAGCGGCATTTACTGCCTTCATGTAGAAATGCTGCTCCCCTGGAATGATTAATTCCATTCTTGTGTTGTCTGCTGAATGGACTGTGGTGACACAAAGAAGTACAGTTATAGACTCAAAGCATTTGGAGGGGTCACATCACATAGCATTAGATGCTTCATACACTTAAACCACACACACAACACAATCAGGGCCACTCTCTCAAAAGCCCTGGAGGCACCGTGAAAACCACCTTGTCCCTAATACCCAAGGTGACAGTGGTGCCAAAATAGTGCCAGCATACGACAGTAAAATAGACAACTTGCTTTTGCTCATACTAGAATTTCAACACAGCCATTGGAGAAAGCAAGAAGTTAAAAATGATGTTTCTAAAACACGGCTTCCGGGAGAAGTGGCAGGTAGATGGGGGCTACACCAACAAGACCACTAAACCCAAATTCAAAATACCAAGTTCAATGCAGGGAGGTGGACTATAGCAGACCTTTTATTTTCATTTGTTTGGCATTTACTTGCTCATTAATCTGTCTGCCTGTGACAAGGTCTTACTGTGCAGCTGAAGCTGGCCTGGAACTCACTACAAAAACTAGGCTATCTCAAACCTTCTTCTAAGCCCTCCGGTACTGGGATTACAAGTATGTGCCACCACATCCACACAGTTCTCTGCACACTGATTTACTGTGACATTTCCATACATGTGTACATGTATATCTGCTGGAATTTTGATCACCAAAAAATATCACTAACAGAACAAAATCCAAGTGGGAGGACGTATTTGCAAACTCACTACATTATACAAAGTATGGCTATAAGTCAATGTTAAGAAACAGTCAAGCTCAGAAAACAAGACAAAGACCTAAAAGGGGGCTTGTAAGGAAGAAATGACATGCAAGAAGCAATCTTTCCAGCACTGAGCCACATCCCCAGCCCTAGGAAATGTTTTCCTCACATTTTATTAACATGCACGCTACACTTTATTTGGGTCCATTATGGTAGATCCAGGGTATTACAGTAATGGAGAAAAAGAGCTTAGCTACCGCCCCCACAATACAACAAAGGAAAGTGGGAGTTTATAGTCTAGGTAGGAGGGGTGAAGAATTGAAAATTATTAAATCTCTGCAGCAAATAGGGACTCCACTACACTGACCTAATAAGAGCTGCATAGCAAGTACAAGAATGCCCTGGATCCATTCTTAAAAGAGTATTTTCTTTTCTCATAGCCACCTGCTAGAGCTGAATGGAAATTCTCTGAATGTGCTGCTTAAACACATTTCTACACTGGCTCTAAGCTGCTTACAAAGCAGTGCTTCTGAAATGTTCATGGGTGATGAGGGTCCAGAGAAAATGAGCTACACAGACCTCAGCAATAAGTACATGGCATGGTAACACTGGAAAATGTTTTAGTCTAAGAAAAACAAAGAACAAAATGATGCCCCATACATTCGGGGAACACACAAGAATGTTACCCCAAACTTACATGCATCTATAAATTACACAGCCATGACACTCTTCCATTAGAGCAGTAACAATTCTTAATTAAAAAGTGCACCAGACAACACAAACACACAGCAGGCATGTACACTTTGGAGAAGTCTCCCAGGACATCATGCTCTACCCCAAGCTAATAATGTTGCATGACGATAATCCCAGCATGGGAGGGGAAAGCAAGAGAGAGTTCCAGACCAACCAAGGCTACACACAAAGACCCTGTCTCAAAGAAATAAAGGATGAAGACAAGAAGGAAAAGGATATGAAGGAGGAGGAAAAAAGAGGAGGGAGGGCTGGGATGAAGGAACAGAACTATAACTAAAAAATATGAACCCAAAGCAGAGGGAGGAAGAAGAGGAGGAAAAGATGAAATGGAGGGAGGGAGGGAGGGAGGGAGGAAGGGGGAAGGGAGGGAGGGAGGAAGGGGGGGAGGGAGGGAGGGAGGGAGGCAGGGAGAACTTTCTTCCCTCCTTGGCTAATCCAAGTCTGAAAAATGTAGCTCACTGCATTAATCACAAATAAGAAAATACAAAGGACAAAAGATGTTTCTGGGTATTTGGTGGCTTTGAACAAGCCCTCAGGCAGGACTGAAGTACTCTGGCTGTGAGGGGACATGAAAAAGCCCTGGAGGGAACTAAACATTCATTCCTCTGGTGCTGTTTCCTTTTCAGTTCTCCTTGAGGAATTTAAATCTCATTACCATTTTATCTGATTTCATTCTACCCACCTTCGCCCACACACAAGAAGGGATCATGGTCTGTGAAATCTCCAGGAAAATTACACCATGGTCTACTACTCTATTATCCCCCTTTTGGAAGAAAAGGAAAGCACCTGTGTTAGCCACAAAGGTTCAGCTGCAGTCAGCAAGAACGCAAGCTTCTAACTTCTACTCTGTGCTTTATCAAAACTCCACAGAGAGGCTGGCTTCATCCACAGAGGTCAGCTTCACCTTCCGGGAATCTTTCCATGAAGGAGAGAGAGAAAGTATCTAGATGCTACAAGAAGTTATCTATTAAGTCAAGCAGAAAAAAAGCATCTGAAGCTTCAGTGCAAGGAACATTTACAAAGGGGGATAGCAAACCTGTGTTCACTAGTGTTAAATGCTATCCCTGATCCCTCACCAGAGGACCCTCAACTTCCTTACCTTTAATCTCACAGACGGCCATTTTTATACTTCCTTTGCTCCCTTTGCACACATCATCCTGCGAGTCATAGTAGGACAGGATTCCATTATCTAGAACAAACCATCGAGGCTGCCAACCTGTGGAGACCAGAAACCAAAACAGGTTAATAAGTTATTTTTACCACATAGAAACCTGATTTCAGCCATGCCACATTAATTCCGGACTCTCAGTAACATTCACACAATGAAATTTTTAATGGTCAACGCTTGCCCAAAATGTCCTGCGATTTCTAGATAAAGAAGGGGCTACTTTTGCTCAAACTCACAACCTTCTCTTTAGCAACCCTAAAGACACAGGCTCAACCATAGCTCTACCCAAGCACAGCATAACTGTCCCGGTTTCCAGGATGACAACAGATTATAATGTAGAAATAGTGTTTCCTTTCCAACATGTTTAGAACCAGTAGTATTTCAGATGTTGGATTTGGAGTTTGCATATGCATAATGAGATATATGAAGAATGGGACCCAATCTAAACATGAAATTCATGCTGTATCACCTAAAAGTAATTTTATATAGTAATTAAAGTAATTTAATAGTTTTCTTTCTGACTGTGCCCTATCACATGAAGTCAGGTATGGCATTTTCCACTTGTGAATGTCCCTTCAGTACTTAAAACCTTTGGGTTTGGGAGCATTTCAGATTAAAAACACTCATTTCGTAATGGAAAAACCCTATAGAAACCAGAGGTTTTGCCACAGTTCTGTTACCATTCTTGGTGGCAAACCTAGAGTAAATATTTAATCCCAATTAAGTCTCTAAAATTCCTTGTCCAAAACAAGTGGACTGAACAAGTGGGCCAGCCATCAAGGATGCAATGTGGCCTTTCTTCCCTGAACAAGTGGACCAGCCATCAAGGATGCAATGCGGCCTTTCTTCCCTGAACAAGTGGGCCAGCCATCAAGGATGCAATGTGGCCTTTCTTCCCTGATAGAAAATGCTGTCTTTAAGCAAATGCCCTTAAAGACTGGGAAAGCTAAAGAAACTCCCACTTGTTAGGCAGATGTGACAGCCTGTAGAAAGAGCAGATTCCCACCTACCTTCCTGCCCTTCTCTGATGCTACACCACTTAGGCAGAAATGTTACTAACTTCTATCATTCATCTCATTGAAATTTCCTCAGCAGTTAAAGCATACACCTATCAGACTTGGTTCAAAGGCAAAGCCTGTAACTAAGAGCGATGGCCTTCCTCAAGGCTGGACTCGTCATTCCTCTTACATGCCATACTCGTGTTCCCTGGAATCTTATCAAGCATGCTACTAATAGATAGCAAGCAGTTCATCAACTAATAACATAGTGACCATGCTGACAGCAGTGTGACTGTATTTATTCTTTCCATCACTATTAAGCCACAATGCAGTATAAGTGGTCTAAATGAAACATGCCGCCATTAGAACACTTTGACCAGAGGCTGCTAAACAATTCATTAGCTCTTGTTTCCCAGGATCAGACAGTACCAAGACAGAACACTTCATTCTTATAGACTGACACAAGACATAAAACTTAGGGGTCACCAACACTTTTGAAACAGCAATGTTGTATTATGATTAGTTTTATCAAGTTGACAAAATCTTCCAGGTGGGCCTGAGGCGGGATATCTTGATCATTAATTAATATTCAGACCCTTCTTAATTGTGTGCAGGTCGGGGGATAATGGATGGTACAAAATGGATGCAGAGCTGTGCATTAGCATGCTCTCTCCTGACTTTAGACATGACGTAAGTCACTGCCTGTGTATGTGTAACCTCCTGGTAAGGATGAACTAGAACCTTGAACTGTGAGCCGAAATAAACCCCTCTTTCTTAAGTTGCTTGTGTCAGGGATTTTATCACAGCAATAGGACACTGAGTGAGCACAAACAGGTGAAATTTTACCTTCTATGTCTTCTTAGGAAGACAAGGGGCGCTATACCCATTCAGAAAGATAAACCAAGCAAACTTCCAGCTCCAGGAAAATATATTTGCATAAGCATTACATTCCCCAGAGAAGGCTGCCAAACTAGAAGGAAAGGCCTTTTGGCATTTGTACACTATCTTGTACCTCACTGCATAAAGATGCCCTAGCATACAACAGGTGCTTTAAAAAGATGTATTTCTCAAGGCTAGAGTGATTGCTAGGCTGCTGAGACTCACGCTGCTCTTCCAGAGGACTCAAGTTCGGTTCCCACATCAAGCATCTCATAAGCACCAGTGACTCCAGTGTGAGGGGTACCCATGCATTCACTCACAGACACACACATATAAATAAATAAGGAGAGAAAGGTGGGGTTTAAAGACAGTACTCATGCAGGGAAGTCTAGAAAAATATAAAATAATGTTAAAAAAATTTTAAAAGGCTGGGGGGGCAGCATTTGCCAAGCATATGCAAGGAAATATGATGAAAATAATCTTTAATGTATGTCTACAATGACCTAAAGAATGAGTTAATGAATACATTTTTTCCAAATACAACACCATTTGACAAATTATAAAGAGGAGGTGGTGAAAACATAGTCTTCAACCTCAGGTCCATCTAGGCCAGCAACATAAATTCTGGTTTTTGAAAAGCATTACTGTTCAAGATTGCATTACCATGATGCAACAGCTCTTCAAAACGAACTGCGAGCAAAATGATTCATTTAGAATTTGTAGGAACTGAGAAAGTCATGTGGCTGAGCGTATTCATCTACTCAAGCCTGCTAGTTGTCTCTCCACAGCTTTTTAAAGAAATACTTCATCTTTCCCTAACTGGCTCACACTTTTATAGTACAGTAATAGGAGGTTATTTTCTGTTCCAATTTCTACTGAAAAAAAAGCAGTTTTCTCAAACTACTAAATGTTAAGGAAACATGTGCTATCCAAAAAAAGGAAAAGGCAGAGCTAATACTGTCATTACACTGAAGTCCTTAAAGACCAGCCAGTATAGTATGAACAGCTGCTCATCCTCTGACCCGAGATACTAAAATAAACACTGCTGAGCCAACTTTACATTTTTAAAATGGAATCATTCCAAACAAAAGACTTCACTGCAGTCACTCTACAATGCTAACTAGAAGTTAAACCAAAATGCACCCTAAAAACTAAAACCGCAGTATGTGCTGGTATTTGGTCCAAGACAAGAGGACACCTCCCATAAGAACGCATTTCACTCCAAGTGAAATTTCCCTCCAACTAGGACTCGTGGCAGTAACTGCCCAATGCTTCAGGCCATGCGGAAAATACTCCTCTGGCATTACGTCCGAAGACAGTGCTCAAAAATATTTGCATGTCCAAGCTTACAGAGGCTGCAAGACTCAGAGTTAACACGCCTCAGCCAGCATCCAGTGCTCATAACTGCCCAAATGAAAACTCTTGGCAAAAAATCTCTCCCGAATGTTTTACTGCTTCCAGTAAAAATGTGTCATTTACATGATTATTTGGCTTTTTCATCTGAGCAGAAAACATCAATGTATTACAAATATTAAACCACTTGCTCTGGTAAATGGGGCTCTAACCAGATACAACTAAGCATTTAGCCCTTAGGAGGTTCACCTGCAGATTCCCACAAGCTAGGGGAACAGGAGTTGAGTGCGTCACAGAATGCCTACGGGGCCTAATACTTGGGGCAGAGTGAGTGGGTAGCAAACCAAAGACTGACTGTTCCTCAGCACTAAGAATTTTGAGTACTGCCCAAATTCCCCTTAACACCGCCAGTCCTCCTCGAGTTTGGTGAGATCATGGAATTCAGAAGTTGAAAGGTACCTCCAGGACAAAATAGCCAACCACCCAGGCCTTCAGCGACCGGATCCTGAAAGAACACCACACTTGCTTTGAGTACTGATTACAGTGGAGATCACAGGATTTGCATTTATGGCATTTTTTAAAAGCCAGACTCGCGCAGGGACAGTTCTCAGCTGCTGACCACATTTCTGTACAGACTTCTTCTAACTACCTCACCACTGAAACTTGCCTGCTCTTTCGGTGTTTCATTTCCAACTATTCCTCACAATGACCAGCATTCCTCTGGTGTTGAAATGCGCTTTCTTCCACTATGTCTCACAATTATCCGAATTCCCAAAACTCACTAAAAACCAATCCCTAGGAACATTCTCTGAGAACAGCTTCCCAAACGACACTTGATGAGCTCAGACAACCTCAACAAGTGGACTTCCAAATCAGTGGGAAGGAAATGTAAAGGAATACAGAAAACATTATCTTTAAATTAGATGCTTTCACATACACACAAACATCAATTAACAAAATGTTGTCCACCGAGCGTGGACGAAAGCAGAGGTTGTAACGACACACACAGGGTGAAGGGGGACTGCTTCCGAGGCACAAGGGACCCCGCAGGGTTCTGGTGCGTGTCCCATCCTCGGGATGGTGCGCAGTCTCGAACTCCCCGTCGAAGCGGCGGGGTATGAGCCCCACGAGGGGCGGGGAGGGGGAGGATCGGGAGTGGAACTGAGTCCCGCGGGCTAGAGAGGAGGTGGCCGAGGACCAGGGTGCCCGCAGCCGCGCGCCGCCCGCCCGGTACCTGTGAGATAGTTGGTCCACTTGTACAGAACCCCCTCCATGCTTCAGAGCCCGGCGCCGCGCATCCTCCTGGCCCGGCGCCGGCCGCGCTGCTGCGGAGGCGCGGGCCCGCAGCCCTCCGCCCCGACCCGGCGGCCCTCAGAGGCCCGGCCGGCGGGCGCCGCGTGCTGCTCGGAGGCCGCGAGGCGCGGACATCCCCAGCGGGAACGGCGCGGCGACCCCCGGGGCGACCCCAGCGCCCGCCGCCCTCCCGCTCCGCCGCCGCCGCTCCACGAGCCCCGGCGCTGCCCTCCTGCGCGCCCGCCTTCCTTCCCCCCGGGCTCCCGGTTTGTTTTCATTGACCCCGACGTCGCTTTCACTTCCTGGATGAAAGGGGCCGGCTCGGCCCGCGAAACCCCTCCCCGGCGGCGGGGCTCCGGGACGGCCGCGTGCCCGAGGCTGCGACGCGCGCTCTCGTGGGGGCGGCTCGGCGGCGCCCGCTTCCGCGCCTCCGGGCTCCCAGTCTCCCCGATTTCCCGCTCCCTACCTCCGCGGCATCCCGACCCTCAGCGCACCAACTCCCGGGTCTCCACCGCCCCGGGCGGCGGCTTGGGCCTCACCTCCTTCCAATCTTTTTCAATAAAATCAAGAGCTGCTTGCTGGTTTCCTTGAGCTCCCAGGGTTCACACCCAGGTAAAGTAGGAAGTTATTTCCTAGGAAAAGCAGACAGCAGTGGCACAGGCCTGTAATCCCAGCATTCTAGAGAAGATGACAAAAGCCTGGGCTACAGCGTGGAACCCTTTTTAAAAGAGAGAAAGGAAAGAGGGACATACAAGTAGTACTCAGACTGGTGAGGTCCTCCTAGGAGGTTTTCACACCAAACATGGAAGGAGGGTTGGCGAGGGTTGCAGGGTTCCAGGTAAAGTGCTTGCCTCTGGAAGATGAATGATGGGGAGCTGGGGTACCACATAGTGGAAGGGAGAGCCCTTTCCTGTAAACTCCTCTGCACATGGGCCGAGTCACACGCGCACACACACACACCCAACACACACATGCACAAACAAATTTTCTTTTAATGTTTTTCATGCTGTATGTCGTGACCCCAGCACTCGGGGAGTAGAAGCAGTCAGATCTCTTGTGAGTTTGAGGCCAGCCTGGTCTTCATAGTGAATTCCACGCCAGTCATAGTGAAACTCTGTCACGAAAACGGGAAAGAAAAGAAAGGTTAAAACGGAGCCAAGCTTTGTATTTTTGTTTAGTTTTTAAGATTTTGTTTTTAGATTTTTTATTTGAAAAAAAATTTAAAGAAATCTCACTTGGAGGAGAACAACACCTTTACGCACTTCACACTAATATTCAGATTTAGAAAGTTTTGCAAAGCAGGCTCCTGTCACATTCAGGAGCCCCTCCACTGTGGGTTGAGGCGGCCAGGTTGCCTGTGACAGACGCATATGAAGACCCTGGAGTCATTTTATGCAGGACCTAGACCCGCCCCCAAAAGCTTTGAGAGTATCCAGAGAACAGCAGCGAACCTATTTGTCACTTTCTTCCTAGAATTCTGGCCACCGCTGTGCCTGCCAAACCCATGGGGCCTTAGAAGCCTTCTGCGCTAGAAACAACAGCCATATTTCGACTAGAACACCCCATCGTGGATTGTTCGCATTGTATTTCAATTTCTTGGCCCAACTTTTTAATACTTTTAAAAATACTCAGTTCTAGGACCAACAGCCATCTAATCTTTTTTTTCCCCCCTCTATAACCAAACGGTTCCATTTATCATTTAAAAACTTAAAATCAAGCCATTGGGTCAAGCAATCAGTCGGCGGAGGCAGTGATGGGAAGGCAAGACCAGGACATCAAGAGGAGGCCGCAGAATTTTGCAATATCTCCTAACTGCCTTGAAACGACCACCATAACGCCAGCTTTATTTCAGGAAACGTGGCCCCGACTACTGAAGGTGGAAGACACCTGTGGTAAATGAGGGCTTAGCAGGGGGGGGGGGGAGTGCAATTCTAATCTAGCCCGGGTACAACCACCTGGGGTTCCCGGCTCCCACAATATACTCCCAAGCCCCCAGCCAACCGCCCACTGAGAGACGGAGCAGGGGCTCGCGTAGCCCCGCCTTGGACCTTTGTGACGTAACATTGCCTGCCACGCGTCGGAATTCGGTCCTACACCGAGAGCCGCACGCCTGTGGACACGCAGTAGGGCTTACACTAGGCTTGCGGGACCTAGGAACCATGCATTTCCTATTCAGGCTAGCGGTTTTCCTCACCCTGTGGAGCTGTTCTAACGCTCAAGGACAAACGAAAGAAGAAAGCCCAGAGGAAGTGAAAATAGAAGTTTTGCATCGACCAGAAAACTGTTCCAAAACAAGCAGGAAAGGAGACTTGCTAAATGCCCATTACGACGGCTACTTGGCTAAAGATGGCTCCAAATTCTACTGCAGGTAGGAGATACACCGTGCGGTTCAAGCTCAGTGGCTACACCACATATTGCCCTCTCCCCCGACCCCGCCCCAGCCAGAAGTCAACTGATTGTTCCGTTTTAAGGTTTTTCATTTCTTTGTTTTTTTTTAACGGTAAATTAAGCCATTATGCCTATTTAGATTAGAAGACAGCCCCTAAGAAACTGAATGCTTTTAATTGTTGAAGATGTTAGCTCAGTAAATTGACCGCCGAGCCACGGCATACTGCTAATCACCTCCACTTGTCTTTGGGACCTTTACAACTAAACCTAGCGGCTGCTTGAAAGGGAGTTCACACTTTGTTTACCAAAGCTGGTGTCTCTTTCCAAACAGAGTTGTATTAGGAAGCTATCACATTTTTTTTCTCGTCTTCACTGCATCCATCTGGCTCTCCCATTCCCTACTCTGGTCTGATTGAGTGCCTTTTTCGCTAGCTGCACTGTCACCCTCCAAAGATAGGCCCGGAGAAAACAATTCTTTCCAATTAAGAAGAAAACGTATTCTTCCTATTTAGAAGGGAAATTTGACGGGGACGCTGCTTTCAATTCTTAAAATGAAATTTGGGGGCTCAGCCTGCCCCTTCGGTTTGGGGAAACGGAAGTTAAATGAGTTTTATTCAAGCCATGCAGCTAATTAAAGGCAGGAGACCCATTTTTAAAAAGTTAACTCTTGGGTAGTTTTGTAAGGATGGCAATAGAACAGAAAATGGAATAACTTCTAATGATACTTTTTCTGCCAATTTATACGACAGTTTTAGATAAAACACAAAGGAAGGCGTTCTGGAAGAATGCTAACGTGGGAAAAGAGATTCCAAATTTAAATAAAAACCAAAGTTTCCTTCATGACATCAGTTTATTTAAGTACTAAGTATGGTTTCTTACAGCCGGACACAAGATGAAGGCCACCCCAAATGGTTTGTTCTTGGTGTTGGACACGTCATAAAAGGGCTGGACATTGGTATGATGGGCATGTGCCCTGGAGAGAAGAGAAAGGTGATTATACCCCCTTCGTTTGCATATGGAAAAGAAGGCTATGGTAAGAACCTTTGTCTGCTCCCCTTGCTTAAAGCCCCTGACAACTCCACCTGTTTGAAGTATCTAACACATAATCAGCAATCAGTTTCCTAAGGGCGATTTGGGAATCCTATAAGAGATAAACCATCTTTGAGGCCATTGCCTGAGTCTTTAAGAGGTAATCCCCCTTGCCTATGCCCTAAGTGAAACTGAGGGAAGCTAGTGCTTGGAGGAGTCTGGCATTCTAAAAGGGATGCTCCCAGTTCATGTTCTTTGCTTTCTGTCAGTCATTTGTTCCTAGGGCTGGGTGTGTGACACTTGACTTTGATCCCAGCACTGCACTACAAAAGAAAAAGGAAAAATTAGCCTCCCATGGCATCATAATTTGTATAAACGTGTGTATGTGTATGTGTGTGTGTGTTTACACTCATGCACAATTTTTTGTATGGGAGCCTGAGAAAGAAAATTGAAAATAATTTAAATATAATACTGCCTTCGAAATGTCATGAACTGGTTACTTCTAGGCAAAATGATGTAGGTCAAGTTTGCCTTTCAGTCTCTTCCCTCAGTTTCTGAGTTTCCTCATCAGCATTCTGCTTACCCTAGATTACCCACATCCATCTTCAATGGGTACCAGTCCTGGGTCCATTATCCTACCGGGAATGACTACTTTATCCTTTACCTAAGCTAGTTTATGCTTAGCTAAGGATGACTACCCAGTTGCCCAATCTATCAACAAAAGACACCCTTTCTGCAAGGAAATCAACATTCTTATTGACTTTGAGGGGTCTCCAGTAAACATCTAGACAATCACATTAGCACCTTTATTTACTTATAAGAAAAGTGAAGCCTAAAAAAATGAACATTTTATCTGTTGTTCTTACCTGTATTTACAGTAGCTTAGATTTTGCTTAAATTTTAGAAATTTGGCAAAAATCTTCCTGATTATGTAAGCGTTGTGTGTGTGTGTGTGTGTGTGTGTGTGTGTGTGGTGTGTGGTGTGTGGTGTGTGGTGTGTGGTGTGTGTGTGTGTGTGTGTGTGGTTTTAGGATACAGGGTTTCTTTGTATAGTCCTGGCTGTCCTGGAACTCACTCTGTAGACCAGGCTGGCCTCTGAACTCACGGAGATCCTCCTGCCCCTGTCTCCTGAGTACTGGGATTAAAGGTGTGCACCACCATCACCAGACTATTATGTAAGCTTTTTAAAAATACATTTTTATTAATTCTTTGAGAGCTCCATATATGCATACAAGGTATTTTGATCATATTCAACCCCCTCTGTTTTTCCCCTAATTCATATCCACTCCCCTCTCTACCCCCTCCCAACTTTCTGTCATACACACACACACACACACACACACACACACACACACACACACACACACACTTCTCCTACCAAGTAAAATTTCCATATGCTCATGTGTGTGGGGCCATCCACTAGAATGTGGTCAACATACCTCAGCCTTAGAGTTGACTCTCCCTCCCCAGAAGCCATCAGCTGTCAACACCTCCTCAGTTAAGGGTAAGGGCAGGAATGCTAACATATTGACTGGCTTGAACTTTACAGGTCTTGTTCTCCAAGAGCTTAAAGTAAATGTCTCTTAAAATATAACGTTAGTTATAACTTCATTTTAGGTGATACTTGAAGAAGGTTTTCTTTTGGCAAAATGCCCTTGGCTCCTGTCACAGAACACTCACCCCTGCATGTCTTGAAGTGCATGTGGCTTTCTAATGCTTTAATTAACGGTCTACGTGGTATGTATATATTCTTTACATTAACTCCCACCTCGTCATTCTGCCTCTATAGGTGTAAATAATTCTGTTGAATGCACATCTATCTCTGGTTTTTGGCTTTAATCTTTTTTTGTAGTAAAAAATTAACTAGCAACATTTTCTGAATTTTTCATAGAATTGTTTGGGGCCTTCCCATGCATCTGTGGTACTTTTTCTTGGGAAGTTTGGGTTTCAAGGAGCTCAGCGGTGCAGATCCACTCACTTGCCTGCCAGGCCCTGTTTCCAGCAGCAGCAGAATAGCAAAGGGGTTTTGTGTTTTGAGTCTACCTTAGTTATTGTCAGAAGTTATTTTTCTGTCCTATTTTGTAGGACTTTGGCTCTGGACTTTGATGACAGGCACATGCTGGTGGGTAGATTTTTCTGTTCTGGCTTTGGAAATTACAATGCACTGCTTTGGGCTGTAACTTCTGCCTTTTCCTCTTTGGGTTATATAAGTATTTTAGCAAGAATTGTCCACTTTACCATTAAAGAAATTGCTATTTCTTTTGATGAACAAGCTTAGCTACTTTCAAAGAGTATGAGTCATTTAGCAGATACTTGTGCGCATGTCCTACATCGCATGGCCTCTAAGGCCCTGAAAAAAATGCTCAGCTACCCACTGCCTCTTGGCAGCCCTATAAAATACTCATCGGAAATAGCCCCTCTTACTAAATTCACCGCTAACAGATGAACTTTATTAAAACTGTTAAATTTCATATTTAAAAAATTTTATGATAATTAGAAATGTCTGTGTAAAATTGCTTCTAGATTTTTGTTGCTGCATTTATCTTTTCAATGTCTGTAAAGCATTTTAAAAACATTGATATTTATATTTTACTTATGCTCCTGGATTACTTTATAAAACCATTTTCTCAGAGATTATACTTTGGAATCTCCTCCCCCTCCTCCTCCTCTTCCCTCCTCCTTTTCTTCTTCTTTTGTGTCATTTTGTTTGGTTTGGTTGGTTGGTTTTTTGAAGCAGGGTCCCTCTGTATAGCTTTGGCTGTCCTGGAACTCGCTCTGTAGACCAGGCTGGCCTCGAACTCACAGAGATTCGCCTTCCTCTGCCTCTTGAGTGCTGGGGTTAAAGGTGGGCACAATCACCACCTGGCTCTCTTTCTTGCTAATTATATTTATTTCTGTAGAGCAAAGCCTGTGCCGCAGCAGGTATGTCGGGGCCAGAGCTCAATTTGTGGGCTCGGTTCTCTTCATGCACCATGTGGGTCCCAGGTATTGAACTCAGGTCATCAGGCTTGACAGCAAGTGCCACCGAGTCTTTTCACCAGCCCAACTTTGGAATTTTTCTCCTCATACGTTCCTTCTCTTTACCATGTCTCTGCTGTATGATGATTAAGATATAATAATAAAATCTTTGTTTATTTTAACTTAACCAGGAAACTGGTCCAGAGGGGACTTTGAACTGACCTGGTTTAAAATACACAGGGGGAAAAAGAAGTTCCCAAAATGTTTTTTGTAAAAAAGGGGGGGGAGGGTAAATTGATAAACCCTGAATTTTTTGGTACTAAAAAGTTAAATTGCTTGAAAGCAGTTCTTCTAGGCACTATTGCCCTGATGTTAGTGTGACCACTGAATGTCTGAAAGGTACTTTCATG